CCCCCCCCAAGCAGTTCTGTGAGGCTAGCTGGGTGTCCTACAACTTAACTAAATTCTGACACTGTCTATCTGGAAATAATATCAGACCTTACAGGTTAAGGGCTTAGTCCCACAAAGCCTCTTTTACCCCATTTCAGAGTAGGTCCCCAGGTTACCCCCAACTTCTGTCTGATTTGGTTATAGATTGGACCTCCTTAGGTGTGATTAATTTGCTAGAGCAGCTCACAGAGCTTAGGGAAATACTTGTGTTTACTTACCAGTTTATTAAAAGATATGATAAAGGATACAGATGAGCAGCTAGATGAAGAGGTACGAAAGGCAAGGTGTGGCAGGGTCCTGAGTCCAAGAACTTTTGTCATGCGGAGTTGGAGTGCACACCCTCCCAATGTGGATGTATTTGCTAACTTGGAAGCTCTCTGAACCACCTGCTATTGGGACCTTCCTCATTTGGGCATGATCAATTATTAATTTCCATTTCCAGCCCCACTCTGGAGCATCGGGGTTAGGGCTGAACATTCCAAGCTTTTAATCCTGGCCTAGTCTTTCTGGTGAGCAGCTCCCATCTGGAAGCCATCCAGGATCCCACCTAGAGTCACCTTAATGGAACAGAAGATGCTCCCAGTGCTCTTGTCCCCCAGAAAATTATGAGGATTTTAGGAGCAGGAACCAGTAACAGAGACCAATATATATTTTCTGTTATCTCCATTTCCCTTCTCCCAGGAATCTCAGTCTTGTGTTACCTGTTGTCCAATGTCTAAAAACCTTTGTTCATATATTTTGGGTGGTTTTATAATTATTTAAAGTAGGAGGTTTTATCTAATGCCAGTGACCCCATATCTGGAAGCAAAAGCCCAACTTGTTCCTTTCTATTTGTTAGTGGTGTTCCCTTGAATGGATATGCTGCGTTTCTTTAATCTTTCACCTGTTGTTGGACATTTGAGTTGTTTCCAATTTTTGGCTCTTATGAATGGAACTGTACAAGTCTTTGTATGGACATATGTTTTAATTTTTCTTGAGTAAATACCTAGGGATTGAATTCCTGGATCACAGAGTATCGTATATTTAACTTTTAAGACAAGATTGCCAAATAGTTTCCCAAAGTGACTGTATCAGCAACGTATGTATAGGGTTCTTGCTTGCCCTGCCCAGTGTGGTTCAGTGGTTAGAGCGTCGGCCTGTGCCCTGAAGGGTCACGGGTTCGATTCCCAGTCAAGGGCATGTATCTGGGTTGCAGGTTTGATCCCCGGCCCTGGTTGGGGTGCTTGTGTGAGGGAACCAATTGATCTCTCTCTCTCTTTCCCTTTCTTCCCTCCTCTTTCCTCCCTTTCACTCTCTCTAAAAAAAATCAATGCGAAAAAAAAAGAGTTCTTGCTCTACATTATCGCCAACACTTGGTATTATCGGTCTTTTAAACCTTTAGCCATTCGAGTGGGTGTGTAGAGGTATTTCATTGTGGGTAAAATTTGCATGTTCTGATAACTAAAGATGTTGATAATCTTTAATGTGCTTACTGGGCATTTGTATTTTTTAAATAAAGTTTAAGTTTATATCCTTTCTCCATTTTCTCCCCTTGGCTATCTTCTTCTAACTGAATTGCAAGAGTTCTTTTTATATTCTGGATATAAACCCTTTGTCAGATATAACAGAGACCGTGATTTTAAGCACTTCTCTTTGCTCGATTGAGGGGAATGGGGGAGAGATGCTTGTGTCTCAGACTAGGATAGGGGTTTAGATGGAGCATAGTAGTTGGAATTTTAAAATTATTTTTAAAAAACCCTCAAGGGATTCTGAGGCTATTTGTCTTTCCCTTTTGTCTCCTGAATCTTCTTAATATATTTAAGAATCAAACCTGAATTATTTCTATGCTTGAATTAATTACAGGAGGATGTCTTGGGAACCTGGGACATACGCTCTTCTCCTTTCCCTTTTTCTGAGCCATGGAGTGGCAAGTCTCAGAGTTCCAAATTCCAGGCAGGGTAAGTCCCAAGGGGGGCGTGTCTGTCTTGGTTTCCACACATCTTAGGGGATGGTGCGGG